GCATCCCCGGTTTCTGCTTAAAGTGTAAATTTGATGGCTGGGTGGCAGCTATTAAAAACCAGGACACGTGTCTCCACGCTTTTTCATTAACATTCTATTTCATAATGACACAACTCTTGGCAGTACTTACCAATCTTCACTACCACCCCCAAAACTTCTTACAGTGTGATTATTTATCACATTTCTGAAGCATTTTGATGACATAAACAATAGCCCTAACTAAGTGTATTTTTGTTTGACAATCCTAATGTATTAATGAAAACAAAACACGTAGATCAGCGAAGAGTCTCTTTTCGGCGAATTCATCTTCTTAGCTGTACAATCGCAAATATATATGCATTGTTTTGTATGTATGTGTACATTAAGTTTGTCAAACAAAGTTACAATCGGTTAAGGTTAATTTTAACTAAACAAGTGAAGGTTGATAATACAGGTCAAGAAAATTAAGTGTTAGTGAAACTAGGGTAGTAACAAAGGTGATGAGTTGTTACAAACAGTTGTAATAATAATAGTGAGTTTTACTCAGGATGCACATAGAAACAAAGTAGAAATTATGTAAGAGATCTAAGTGGATACAAGAATTACAATTGCTTAAGGTTATTTTAACTAAACAGGTAAAGGTTGGTAATATAAGTCAAGACAATTAAGTGCTAGGATAGTAACAAAGGTGATGAGTTGTCACAAACAGTTGTTAAAAGAAGTTATGCAATAATAATATGAATATTTTGATGAGTGAGTTTTACTCAGGATGCACATAGAAACAAAGTAGATAATACGAAACTATGTAAGAGATCTAAGTGAATACAAGAATTATAAGCAACTAAGGAACAGGCAAAGAAACAAAGTTAAGTTATCAGAATAAAATAAAATAAAAATCAAAAAATCAAAACATTGTTACCATGAGAGTAGAAGTGGTTGAGTAATCTTCTTTTGTATGCACAGCTCCGGTTTTTCCATGTGAATGGCTAGAGCTTCAGCGATACAGAGGAGACGAAACCGTATTGCCTTTGACATGTTGTTCTTGACTCGGTAGATTACTTTGAAGGAGGCGTTCGTTGAAATGCAATGATCAGTGCTGACCAGGTGTTCAATTATCGCACTCCTTATTGCACCAGTATTGCCTTTTCGCAACCATGCTGGATAGTGTTCTTGAATCCTCTTGGACAGGATGCGCGTCGAAAGACCGATGTACCTGGCTCCACAGCAGCAGGTGAACTGGTATATGCACATAGAAGTGGCCAGATCCCGCATCTGGCCACTTCTACTCTCATGGTAACAATGTTTTGATTTTTTTGAGTTTTTATTTTTATTTTATTTTGATAACTTAATTTTGTTTCTTTGCTTGTTCCTTAGTTGCTTATAATTCTTGTATTCACTTAGATCTCTTACATAGTTTCGTATTATCTACTTTGTTTCTATGTGCATCCTGAGTAAAACTCACTCATCAAAATATTCATATTATTATTGCATAACTACTTTTAACAACTGTTTGTGACAACTCATCACCTTTGTTACTATCTTAGCACTTAATTGTCTTGACTTATATTACCAACCTTTACCTGTTTAGTTAAAATAACCTTAAGCAATTGTAATTCTTGTATCCACTTAGATCTCTTACATAATTTCTACTTTGTTTCTATGTGCATCCTGAGTAAAACTCACTATTATTATTACAACTGGTTGTAACAACTCATCACCTTTGTTACTACCCTAGTTTCACTAACACTTAATTTTCTTGACCTGTATTATCAACCTTCACTTGTTTAGTTAAAATTAACCTTAACCGATTGTAACTTTGTTTGACAAACTTAATGTACACATACATACAAAACAATGCATATATATTTGCGATTGTACAGCTAAGAAGATGAATTCGCCGAAAAGAGACTCTTCGCTGATCTACGTGTTTTGTTTTCATTAATCCTAATGTACACACGCACACAAATAATTATATATAAATGAGACTGTACAACTCTTCGCTGAAATTTTTTATTCTTATATTTTTGTATAAAACTCTGAAAACCCCATTTTGCATATTTGTCACTGCTTGCAATGAAGTTATTATCATTATTAAAAGGCAATTGGAAGTTGCTTTAGTAGTTCTGCTATCCATAAGACACATTCTGGTTGCTTTCATTTTCAAATTAAAGCTTGTTGTTTAAAGATTACATCTATTCATTGTGTGATACGCATGTTGATAATTCGTTATCGAGGGACTTAATTTGAATCAAATGAGAAAGTTGAAGGCTAAAACCGGTATTTTTTCAGGTGCCGGTTTGTAGGGATTAGACTGATTGGTTAGAGGATTTCATCATGAACTGACATTGGTTAAAGAACCATTGGGACACAAGCTGAGAGTACTGAACAGTTGGTTGTTTCGTCTTAGTTTGGGACTCGTCATCAGTACGAGCTCCCCTTGTAACCAGAAGGTCCTGAGTTCGAACCCCTATGGTGGATGCGTACTGTTAAAGAGTTCCAAACTAGGCAGATGAAACAGCTGTCCAGTACTCCCTGCAGGTTTTCCAATGGTTCTCTAACCGATGTCAGCTCATGATGAAATCCTGGAACTGGTATTTTTTGTTTGACTGCTAATGAAAACAAGTAATTTGTGGTAAAAAATGCTTATATATTATTCTCTAATTTATGCCACACATTTTCAAAGTAAGTATTGAAACTGTTGATATTGGGAATCAATTCATTTGTGATATGCTTTGACTATCACTGATAATATTCCTAATTATGGTGGACTGGTTTTTGCGGAATTTTGTGTGTGTTTGTGGAGTGAAAAGACAGAAATACGTTGGACCGATAACAAAACTCCAGGTCATCCAGACATCACGTACGATTTATGTCTAATGTCACATAAGTTCGAGGAATTACAGGTGAAAACCAACAAGTTGGTAGAAGAGGCTGGCGTCGAAGCCAGGACTTCAAGTAAACAGAGAGAGAGGATAGAGGTAGTGAAGATAACGAACCAACCCACGTTAGCAACAAGCACCAATCACTAACTATTGAGGGAATAAAATTGAAGGAAGTCAGTTCTTTCACTTACCTAATTTAGGCAGCATCGTTTCAACTACAGCCGTCAAGGATGAAGATGTCAAAGCTATTCAGCATCGTAAAGTCAAGACAGACTTTCATCACTCTGAAATCAGTGTGGAATTCTGCTCCATTCAGCATAAACAACAAGATTCGGATTTTCAAAACAAATGTTAAATCAGTCAATTCTTCTACATGGGTCAGAAGCTTGGTGAGTGCGTCATGAAAGGCATTTCCATGAGGGTAATAGAGACTTTCATCAACAGCTTCCACCATTCTCTCACTACATTTTGAAGACCAGATGGCAGGCTAGAGAGGATTACTGGCAAGAAACTATGAGGATGAACCAATCAGGAGCCTACTGGTCAAAAAATATTCTTAAGAAACAGAAGATGAATAGAAGTTACACTGATGAGATTGCCGAGTGACTTCGTTCGCCAGCTATAGCATCGATTGCGACCCGAATGGGAAAAGGCGAGTTTGACGTGTACTTGAGGGTGACATAGAGGAGATCGTGTGAGGAGGAGGAGAAGGGAGCCTGTGGGCGATAGTGCAGCCACCACAGAGAACAGGACAAAATAGAAACCTGCTGTTGAAGCCATGTGTTCCATGCGCGACCAAAAGGAATAATAATATAATAAGTAATTCCCATTTAAATAGTGAAATGGACAATACAGAGATCAGAAGTAGTCCTCTCAAAGAATGTTCAGTGTTCTGAGAAATATAAGACTCATGAAGTCATGTTTTAAGTTTAATAATTACATTAGTTAAATTTTTACACTCAGTCTACACTTTGCAGAAAACAGCATGAGCATTCTTTTTTTCCAGCTTGACTAGTTTCTGTATCTCGTCGCTTCCTCACGCAAAATTTAGTAGTTGAACAGAATACAAGATCGCCCTTCCAGAAGATATCAGTCTACATGTCTCTTATATAATCAACGGAAACGATAATGAAAACACGACCATGTACGTGGTCTGCGGTTCGATTCCTTAGCAGCCCACACACACATCTTTATCTCTCCAAGCTGGTTATAGGGCCGACAATGAGAGGAGGCTAGGGGCGGAAGGCTAGCAACCCCTTTTGATAAAATGTCAACACAACTGATACGGAAACTTCAAAGCTCATGCTTGAAGTCTCAAGTTCCACTCGGAACCCCTAAAAGAATTACTTGGAGTGTTGAGTGACAATAAGTGCTGAGTTCCCCAGAAAGTGTATTCCATACAAGCTTTTGTTTAAGCTCTTCAATCGCCAAACACCTGATTGACACAGGACACCGAGTAGATGTGCTGGAATCATTCAAAATAATTAACAGACAAAGTACCTCAAGTCTTCTCAGGTTTTCTGAAGCTATATCAATAAAACGATTGAAGCCTGACTTATGTGTCCAAAAAGAGTCCGTTGCTGGACTTCAAATACCCTGGTGACTCACTTCCTAGGAACTCTTTGTTTTCTAAATTTATCTTTTCACTCCCTCCCTCTATTTTTCGCTTGACCCTCTTAAGAGATAATTTTTCTTGATCTTCTGAGTTCTACTCACTGTATTACATCATCAACTTCTCATCTGACCTCATGTGCACCGAAATTTTGATCTTCTCTTATCTAATTACGTAACTATTACTAATTTTCTTTTGTTATCACCCCAACAACACAACTGTTAATTAATTTTATTCAAGAAACTTCTCTCCATCAAGATATATATTTAAGTCGACACATATCAAACACCTTGTAAATCGCAATGCCTTATTTCATTACGACGTTCTGACAATATGCTTGCTAATGGACAAAAGTTTGCTAAAATTGTACACTTTTTTATTTTATTAAAGTATTCAGACTGTACGCAGTTGATGAGAACCGATGAAATAAAATGGATCCAGATTATTCTGCGCCAATGTTTCTTCTTTCTTTGTTTAAAAAATATATATCATGAAACCTTCTTTTTATTTCTTTCTAAAATTTACAGAATACCACCGAGTCTAAGACCAGCGGTCTACTGCACAGCTATTCGTATAGGTGGTCAAAAAGAATGGCAATTTTTGAAAGATAAATTATCACAAGTAGACATTAAAGAAGACGAAAAGAGTAGTATATTACAAGCACTATCCTGTTCTCGTGATATGTGGATTGTACGACTGTAAGTTGAAATACACTTCAGAGATTTAATAACGTATGTGTACACTTTTTGTAACAAATGAAAAGTAAACAGGCTTACAACAGGCTTCATAACAATACTCTTTCCCTCTAATTCTCAGCCTGTTCACTGTGATCAAGACCAACACTTCAACTGTATCATTTCCATTTTGATTCAGATGTAATGAAGAAGATTTGTAGCTCAGATGGATGATTTTGATGTGGTTGTGTTCTCTAAGCTGGATGATTTATTTACGAAGCTTTCATTGCTGCCTACTAGGCAACATCTTCAGCGCATACTTCAATTTGAATTGAAGTGAGCTTTTAGATTTCTCCACGAGTTTATTAGTCATCTTTTCTGGTGACGCTGAATGTGATTGGTTGTTTTTGTGTGTTTTCACACCCTCTAAGCTACTTGCATTGGTACTGATTGTTTCCTTGACTTGAAGTTTGACTCTTTGTGTCTGAGATTTTCTTCTTATCGATTGGTAAATTTTGTCTATCTCCATGTGTCTATTAATTGACGATTCACTGGAATACCAGTCTTCTGGAATCTCCCTAGCATTCTCGGTGTTTCCTCTGTCTAATATTTGAACTTTGGCCCAGTCGAATTGATTTCCATGGTTGTCTGCATGCAGAGATATAAGAGGGTGGATAACATGTCTTTTGACGACTAGTTTATGTTCATGGATACGAAGACGAAGGGGACGTCCACTTTGGCTAAGGTAGTGTTCTTCGCAGTTGTTACAATTTATTTTGTAGATGATGTTGGTTTCATGTTCTTTCGTTGTTGAGTCTTTTGGTTGATATAGAACTGAGTGAAGTGATTTTGTTGGTTAGTGTGAGACGTCAATTCCTAAGTGTTTGAAGAGTCTTTGAGTGATTTTCGAGATGTTTCTTACATCTGATAGGGCGATTTTCTTTGTGTTTTATTTAGGGGCCTATGATTTGATAGGTTGACTTGGGGGTAAATGTGGATATCCATTCTTTTGGAAGACGTCCATGAGATATCTTTCTTCAGTTTTCCTTAAGATAGGAGTGCTGCAATGAGTCTTGGCTCTCTTGAATAATGTTTGTGTACAACTTCTTTTGTGTGTTATTGGATTGTTGCTGTTGTAATCATTTATTAAGGCATTGTGTACAGGCACGTCAAGGAAGGTTAAATTTTTGGTATTATTTCTGTAAAAATAAATTATCCAAATAAATAGCAATGTATCTGCTAACTGTTATATTTATAATTTCATAAATCACCGGGCTACCTAAATTTTCTATTCAATTAAATGCATTATATGTCTGTTTCATTTTATGTTTCAACTATACAGTGATGTCTAGGAATATCAATGTATACTTAGGCACATTTGGTTGGAAGATTGGCAAAGTTAAACTTTCGACACCAGTAACAACCAATCAGCAAACGACTTTGAACGGACCAATCACATGAAAGAGGCGTTTATGATAAGCGGAAACGTATATTTATAAAAAAATGCACAAAAAAATGGTAAAACGGTTACAATGGTTATGTTTCCCGAACATGGGAGAGAAACATTTCCCAATTCAGCATGGCACTGTCAATAGAGAAGTCACACCACATTCTATACATATATTCATCTAAATGACTATAAATGAGATCCTTTTGAGATCCATTTATAGCCCTTATTCTACTTTTCAGTCGACCCCAAAATCCTTCTGTGGAATTTGTATGAGGCCTGCATGTCAAACTGGAGTGGTTCACTCTGTGATGAATGTATCCCAGGGATGACAATGAATCATAGCTTTTCCACTCGTCAGTATGTACAATTGATCCAGGTTTCATAAGTCGCTTTATAATAGGTACCAGAGTAGTCGCCTTCCTGTCTGCTATTCTTTCAACAAATCCTTTTCGGAGGGAAGTGTTGCATAAACCTATGACCCAAATGTTGTTTGCTCTCTGACGACCATGACTCTATTTCTTCTTCAACAACACAGTCTCATCCACATGCACTACTACGTCGTCCCCACCCAACAACGAACTTATCTTCCCCATTCTCCAAGATGCAATATCTCTACAATGCTGGTACCACTGAACTGTTGAGACGAGGCTGTTCTCCGTTTAGGTAGCTGCTGCTCTTACGGGCTGTTTCAGTACCCAGCATTTGGCAAATGTACCAAATCTGGGTTAGGGAGAGATGCGACCTAGCAAAAAATGTTCCTAAGAAATATCACCCTCTCTAATACTAACTCGCTTCCAGCAAATTCCACAACGATGTACAAAACCATCAGTTGACCTAGTATAGCCTTTTAGAGACATTACACCACCACACGAACAACTTCTCTCCTTTCGAAGCAAGCCTCAGTCTGGGCAATAATGAAAAACACTATCCTCCTCAAATTGCAAACGTAACCTTGTACTGGCACGTAGTGAAATAAATCAAGCGCTATATAACATTGAACTACGTTCGTGAATCTCATTGGATAATTCGATGTCATTCGCTGATTGGTAGTTACTGGTGTCTAAAGTTTAACTTGGCCGGAAGATTTCATCATGAGCCGACATCATGTAGAGAACCATTTGAAAACCTGGGAGTACTGGACAGTTGTCTCCTCAGCCTACTTTGGGACTCTTCACAAAACGCACCCACCGAGGTTCGAACCAACCAAACAAACAAAATCCCTACAAAAACCAATCCTTGAAAATTAATCTGGTGCTCACTAGTGACTGGTCCTATTCAGGCAGTTAACTTGTGGTTCTAGTGGGAAACCATGACCAGTCGGGAACAGCAGGTTGAAGGTGAAGACAGTAGCTCATCGAAGAAGATATTGCGAAGTGGTCACTCTATGTCGTGAATCTGTAGAAGTTAGAATTCATGCTCTGGCCATTGGATTGGGTCTCAGTGACTTAATGGTCTACGATCTAGCTCCCCCTGTAACTAGAATGTCGTGGGTTCGAACCTTATTGATGGTTGTATACTGATGAAGAATCCCGAAATAGGACGGTCAGCTTTTCAGTACTGCCAGCTTGTTTTCCAGTGGTTCTCTAACTGATGCCAGCTCATGATGAAATCCTCCAACCAATGAAACAAAATCCCTACAAAACCAATACTTTAGACACATTTATAAAAACGTCTTAACCTAAAACTGTGAACTTTTCCATGAAAATGGAGGCGGAACATTGTGGAATATTGGAGCATGCCTAGAATAAAGACAGTATCGATTGAGCTGGTATATATTATCATGTTCTGTATTGCGCATAAATGCATTCTTTCAGAAAACAGCTATCATTACAATTATTTTTATTTAAAAAGCCGTAATTTGAGCCAGTAATTATTCAAAGTGTATGCCTTCAATTTACGTTTATTCCTCTAATTTTAAACAAAAACAAAATGCACTGCACTTCGGTTAATATGCACGCATTAAAATTTCAATAAACGCGATGGCAAACTATTGGTGTCCACCCGGTAGGCAGTGAGGATAATTACTCGCCAGTGATATTCCTGGCTGGTGGTTGTGTTAAAATCACGAATTAGTAGAAGTTAGAATTCATGAGCTAGCCATTCATCAACTGGGTCGGTCGGTTTTCGACATAGAACTTTGCACATATATGCGGCAGTTCAAGTCGCCACACTCCATGTAGCACACAAAGCAAGAGAAGAAAGTAGAAGAAATGCATAATATAGACAGTAAACAGAGGTGTGAGACGAAGGAATAGTAATAACGGAGAACAAAACAGTTTCATTGGAAATCATAAGTCACAAGGAGTGGATGCATCTGCGCCACTGAGAACGATTTTGAGCCATGTCACCAATCGCTTCCAACCATTGGTTTTTACCGTCCCGAGTACCCCAACCAGGAAGTTTACATCTTCCTGGGTCCCAGTGACTGAGTGGTATACAAGCTCAACTTGTAACTGGAAGGCACTTGTTTCGAACCCCGATGGATGCGTACTATTGAAGGGTCCGGGATTAGGACGAAACAGCTGGTGGTTTTTTTAATTGTCCTCTAACTGATATCAACACTAGTAATCAATCCCTACATAAACCAAATCTTGAAAACTTTAACATTCAAGTGCACATTGATTATATATGTCACTTCACATCTTTTTTTGTTAAAAAGTAATTTTATTCTTATCTTACTAATTGTGTAGTCATCTGAACTGGATTATAATGAATTATGAAAAAGATCCTCAGGATTCATTGGATGCCCTGGCAGCTGTAGCTGTATTTCCAGTTGGTCAAAGGCTGATATGGGAGCATGTTCACAAAGCAGTGAGATATATATCAAATGAGTAAGGTTGATATTTAATTTTTACTTTAATTGTTCCTCATCCCTTCTTCCCCGTCCTAGCTCCACCTCATCCCAGCACACACCCCAATATTTATTTTAACACAATTCTGTGTGCCTGGGTTAGATAATACACGAAAGTTTTAATATGAGTGTATTTCATGACTTTCATGAAATTAATCTGTTAAATAATAAGTCATTTTCGAGGAGAAAGTACTTTTTTGGCATAAAGTCGAGCTGTTCCATGGTAGCTTTAATTTCCATGCATAATAGTACTAAGATGAAAGCAAGTCATAAAAGAAGAGAAACCGGGTGATATTAGGTAAATACATTTTACGTTAATAGACAGTTACTTCGTGAAAAATCCCCATTCGAACATTGATAGACAGAAGACCAGTAGTTCAGTGAAGAGTCTCTTTTCGGCGGCGAATTCATTTTCATAGCTGTACAATCGCAAATATATATGGTTGTTTTGAATGTGTGTGTGTACATTAAATTTCTCAAACAAAAATACAATTAGTAAGTTCAGATGAATTGAATGTTGATATAATAGGGTAGTAACAAAAGTGATGAATTGTCACAAACGATTGTTGAAGAAGAGTTACGTAGTAACATGAATAGTTTGATGAAAGAGTTGTGCTCAGGGTGTACATGGAAACAAAGTAGAATGCGGAATTACGTAAGAGTTTTAAGTAGTTAGAAAAATTAGCATACAAGTAAAAGTTAAATCAAATCAACAGAGTTGTTACCATGATCGTGGAAGTGGTTAAATGATTTTCTTTTATACGCATAGTTCTGGTTCTTCTAAGTCAATGGGTAGGGCTTCTGCAATGCAAAGTAGACGGAAACGTATTGTCATTGGTATGTTGTTCTTCACTAAGTAGATTACTTTGAAGCAGGAGGTGTTTTTTGAGATGGAATGACTAGTGGTGATGAGATGTTCGATTATTGCACTCCTTATACGGCCACTACTTATTTTCTGCAGCCACGCTGGAAATAGTTCTTTGATCCTATTTGATAGGATGCGTGTCGAATGATCGATGTGCCTGGCTCCACAGTAACAGGTGAACTGATATATACACACATATAGAAGTGTCCTTTGGGGATCTACAGTTATCCTCTTACAGTAAGAATTAATTCCCACAAGTTTATATATATATTTAAATAGGGCATTTAGAAGACAAATTTCGCGAGATGATATCATTTCGTAGTTTCTTTTTAACTGCTTTACAACTATCATGGTTCACAATAATAATAATTGCTCAGCTATATAAAACAAAAGTACATACTAATGACCAATCATATTTAAATAGGTCAAGTAGTCCATCGTAGGCGAGAAGGTTGAAGTCTATTAGTTTTTGTACACACAGTTTAGGATGTATGTGATTCATCACCCAGAGTGCTTCCATCACCTTTAATAACCAACCTTGAATTACAGTTATGTGATGAAATAATTGTGAAACAGTCATTAATATTGATTTTGTGACCTGACATTATTAAGTGTTTTGCAGTGGATGATGCTGATGGATTTCTATTCAGATTAATAATTACATTGGGATTTTTTGTATGTTTAAATAACCATTTTGGAACGTGTTCTTTTCGATGACCACATTGGAGCATTCTATTGGTTCTGCCTATATAAGTGTCACTGGAACTGCAGGTGAACTCGTAGATACAGGTTGAAGAAGAGTCAACAGAATTTCGTCCTTTAATCGTAGGCACATGGATCGGAAATGTTCGAGATGTGAAAGTAAGAGATGCGGTGTAGAATATGAGTTTGAGCTGTCAACTACATAATCTGGTCATCCTTGAATTGTAGTGTTGTGGTGTGATACAGACAGTGGTTTCCAACGGAATATTATTCTTATATATTCCAACAGTTCAATAGTGGATTAGCAACAGAAAACTATAGCGGTTTGATCACTTGAAAATATACCTTCCCTTCCGTGTCTTGCCTTCTGGTGTTACAGTAGGTGGACTACTTGACCTATTTAAAAAATATGATTGGTCATTAGTATGTACTTTTGTTTTATATAACTGAGTAATTGTCATACCTTTTACTTTACTTTATTATTGTGAACCATGTTAGTTGTAAAGCGATTGTAAAGAAACTACGAAATGAAGATATCTCCTTAAATTTCTCTTCTAAATGCTTTATTCAAATTTATCAAAGGAAATAAGTGTTTTAATATATATTTTTTATTCCTTCTCGTTCCCAGTGGAACATAGGGATTCAAGATAGAGGCTTGAAGTTTCTTTAGCAGTATTTATTTTTACAGGATGGGGTTGCTAGCCTCATACCCAACCTTTCCTCCTTACCAGCTTTTATTACTGGCTTAGCGAGGTAAAGGAGTGCGTCGGCCGGGGATCGAACCCCGGACCATGTGCATGGTCGGTGAGCGTCCTAACCGCTATACCACCGACGCACTATGTATATATATAAACACGTTTCCAGGTGGTTAGTGACAATTGGCAGGGTGCCCTACACATAGTCTTCGTGTGTGCTGGCGTTTATCAGTCAACAAGGTGTATCTTCACCCTTGAAGAAAATTATGTCGCTTCTGAGAGTTTAACTTAGGTTAGCCAATGCTGCAGTTGTAGACTTTACACCGGAGCTATTTTCGGACTCGCGAGTAACCTCCTGTAGATCTGTACTGGATACTTTGATCAGACTCTAGATGGTAACTTTTGTTATGCGTTTAGTCCTTGATGTCTGTACAGACTGAATTCTAGCACCAAGCATGTCACCTTGTATGATGACCAGATTGAAAACTTGACTGATAGAATCCACTCTGGGCTAAACGCATGAGATCCATTACTGCCTAATGTGTCAAATCAAAGTAGACATCTTTGCATCATCATATGTGACGACAATACCGACATCGAATTGATAACTAAAGAGTTCAACAGCTGCCATCATGCCATCAAGTTCACGTCAGAATCAGAGATTAACTCGGAATTCCATTTTTTTGGATGTTTTTCTAAAGAGGAGATCTGATGGTTCTCTTCAAAGATCGATCTACAGGAAACCAACATGGAATGGTCAGTACACAAATTTCCATAGCTGGGTCCCTTTGAGAAGAAAGAGAAATCTGATCCATTCCTTATCCTCAAGAATAAGGAGGATATGTTCAAGTGATACAATCGATGGGGAACTAGGGCGACTCAGACAAGTCCTCATAGAGAATGGATATCCTCCAAGATTTATCGAGAAAAACATGAAGTTAAGGGAAAAGCCTGAAAGAATCCAGACGGTGCCAAAGAAACTGCTATTTATGAGTGTTGAATTTAAAGGTGTTACCGCAGCTGAGATCCTGAAGAATCGCTTATGCAGATCACTGAGGAAAGCCTTCTTTATGGCTGAGCTACGTATCAATTTCTACAGCCAACAAATGATCAACGGATATGTGAAGGATAAACTGCCGCTTTGGGCCACCTCAATGTGTGTTTATAAATATGCCTGACCGCACAAAGCGCACGCTTTTTAAACGCATCTCTGAACATTATCCGGCATGGTTAGCAAAGGGACAGTGTAAGACAATTTATTATTGTTTATTATTGTTCCCTTGGGTTCCTAGTGGAACATAGGGCTTCAACTGCACGTCTCCACTTGCTTCTGTCTTCTGCTGTTCTTTTCACTTGCGTCCATGTTATTCCATACTGTTTCATCTCCTCCTCACACGATCTCCTCCATGTCACCCTTGGACGTCCCACTCGCCGCTTCCCTTTCGGGTTCCACTCGAGGGCCTGACGCGCGATTTCACTCAACGGCCTTCTCAGCGAGTGTCCAATCCATCTCCACTTCCTCCTGCATATTTGTTGGGCGATTGGTTCTTGTTTTGTTTGTTCCCATAGCTTCTTGTTTGTGATTCTTTCCGGCCATCTAATCTTCAGTATGGAGCGAAGACAGCTGTTGATAAAGGTCTGCAACCTGTTGAAAATATTCTTGGTGACCCGCCAAGTTTCTGATCCGTAAAGCAAAATTGACTTGACGTTTGTATTGAAAATCCTAATTTTGTTGTTGATGGTGAGTGACGGAGATTTCCAGATTGGTTTCAGATTGATGAATGTGTTTCTCGCCTTCCCGATTCTCGATTTGACAATTACTAGCTCAATTCTCGAGCATTTGGTAAACTCAGGCCATGTAGCTCCATCAGAGTTGTCTTTCAAGATCATCTACAAAGTGAAGCCAAATGGTACAAAGGGCGTCAGGTTCCGGCTTTTGTGTATGGCGGAGGCGCTGGCAATTCATCAATACAACCCTGAACTCTGTATACAGAAAAAGTTTGTCCAGTCTCTTATTATACCTTGGTCTTAACCTTCTCACTAATCGTTTCCTGTTAAAAAATTTTGATTTTCTTCTTTTCTTTTTTAGTTTTACTTTTAGTTTGCTTTTGTTTTAATAATTAATTCAGTATTATCACTCTCATATGCTCCTTTTGTATGTATTCTCACACTCTCTTCACACTTGTTAAATTGACACTCAAGTACCTTTATTCTGACTTAATAGCAATTTTAACCTTATCAAATTTCTATCTTTGTTCCGTTGAGTACCACGTAATTTACAACTTTTAATTTTCACTTGTAAAGCCACTTCTGAGTAATTATGTCACCCCCAATTACTCAATAATAAACCACTATATATTTTTGTAAGTATAAATACAACTGTGTACAGCCTCTGAAGATGATTTCGTCGATAAATAAAATTTTCTTCGCTGAATCTGTCTTTTATTTTCTTCATGACTCAATGGGTATTTTTGGTAATTAAATATTCTTTATGGAAATTAAGTGCAATGATATATATTTTATCAGCTGTGTACATATTCAGTTAGAAATCACCCAAACATCCCCTTCATTAGATTCAGACTGAAAGAGATAGCTGTTTCTTTTATGAATTCTTATAGATTTTATCATAAAATTAAAAAAAATAAGAGATTATGCCTAAATAATCTTACTACTCATCTCAATTCGTTACTAATTCATTCGTTCTTCTTTTTCTGTCTACTTTTTTTCAATAGAGGTAAAAATGCAACTCAGGCAATAACGAAAAGGTAAGTTTGAAACTTAACGAACGACTAGTTTTTTTCCATACTTTTGCCTGTAAAGAAAGTCATTCATTTGTGCGAAAAATTATATTTGTACAATCTCAGTGAGGTTGAAATGATTAATTCCAATGTTCTCTGCGTTCGGCAATCTGGTCAGAAATTATTGAGGGAAATTAATCGAAATTAACAATAACAGAGGTTTATATATAAGAAGAGATTCCTTGTTTTTACAAAAAAATTTGACCTGAGACTTTCAAAATTAGTTTACCTTTGTTAAACACTTTAAAAACACTGTTTTTAACAGATTACGTTTAATTGGTGGATGATGACTAGCAGTGGAGTCCAGGATGCGGATTTCTTCTCATTTGGGACTCGTCATCTGGATGTACCTGCATTCCGCAGTGAGTGATGATGTTCCCCGCACCGAGGCTCGAACCCAGTGCCCATAGTTTCAAACGCCAAAGCGTTATCCAATAGGTTTGACTAGAAGTTCATAGTCGGAGATAATTGAATATGAAAATATATGTTTATATGAGGTAAACAATGGTGTGTGGTGTGGTAAACAGTTGAAATACATTTGTTAGCCACTCCATAAGAAGATATAGTCATTTGGGAATTTTGACCAAGTATGACTAATTAATGATACATATCCATTTTTATTTATTAATCAGAATTTGCCATGCATCAGCTAACAAGACCACACCTTCATGTCTGTTCAAACTGTTGGGATTCACCCAAAACAAGAGATGTCCTTTTTATATACATAAACCTCTGTTATTTTAATTTCCAAATAATTTCCCTGAAGAAGTTCGGACCAGATTGCCGAACGCAGGAAACGTTGGAATTAATCATTTCAATTTTGCTGAGATTTTACAAGTATAATTTTTACTCGCCGCCCAATTATTTTGGAACTATTCGGTCAGATCTTGATCACAGTTCATATGGAATTCATCTATTTATTTATATTTTCATAAATATGGAACTCATGAAGAAGCTCATGAGGACTCTTGTTACCCTGACCTGATTAAGGTATTATGATCCAGGAGTGTGAACTCACGAATGACCTTGAACACATGTTAGTTGTCAGATAATGGGACCTACCATTATTATGTGAACACTATTCATTAATTGAGTTCAACCCAATCTCGTTTTTAAGTGCTGTTCAGATAATCTGTTGATAGCACATAGCTGGAAAAATATTCTTGTGGTGCTTCTGTGTATATCCAATGGTGTCTGAAAGCAGATGATGGGTATACATTTAGGTGTACACAAGTGTAGGAAACGAATGAGTATTCATAACGGTAAGTTATAGTTTCAGTTCATTGCTTTCTAGGAACTTCCTTCTCTAAATCGGGACTCTCCTCCCCTGAAAAATATACTATTTACTTGTCATTACTGGATACCTAAAGATGGCTGTACAGACAAAAAATCTCTTGGTATCTAGTGTATAATGTTTCTAGCATTTTAAAGATATATCATCCTGGAAGATGAATACTAACCCACAACTGTTAGAAGGAGTTGCTGTTATTGTTCACATCGATGAAATAATGCTGATAAAGAAGTGATATAACCGCGGTCACCCTAGGGCAAATACCTTTGAGTTTTGGGAAATCACGACGGAAAACTTCGGAAGGGAATTGCTGAGATAATTCCAAGTCATAATGCTGACACTCTTTTACCAAATGATAAAAAAGGGGTATTCATTCCCAGCACTACTATTCATAAAAAAGACTGGGTGGAGTGAATCATTCTAGGGATTTCGTCAACCTCCATAATGGACCTATACTAATTCAACTACAATTAATGGATCGTCTCGATGAATGCATGCACAGAAACTGGTTTAACATGATAGTTGAGATTCCTCATTTTAATTGAGAGATATCATCAGGGTAAACAATTCTGTTTAATTTGTTTCCATGTATTTCTCATGTAAGCAAACGTTATTTTTATGTAAAAACCACTGGCTCCTCTGACTGGTCGGCTCAAAGTCATTCGAGCATTCGCATTCCACGAATTATTATCGTGTAACTTTGCCATTATTCTGACTGTACTTCCCTCCCCCTCTCAAAATACCTGCTTAGAAATTGCCTTAGTAGCTTTAGAACATACCACAGTCAATGAGGATACAAAAAGCATACGAAAATCTATCCAGAAAAGATATACATTGAAGCTCAATTAGAACCATAAAAATCAACAATGAAGACACTTATATATATGTATATATATCATGATAATATAGATTCACGAATCAGACATAAGAATTTTCAGATAGGAACCAAGAATCTCCCTCAACGAAGCATATCATGCTGCCGAACACAGTACCACAATCGATAAAACAAAGCGTAAATTACCATGTGAATTTCAACAAGTCTACTATTCTGATAGATAGATAGATAGATAGATAGATAGATAGATAGATAGATAGATAGATAGATAGATAGATAGATAGATAGATAGATAGATAGATAGATAGATAGATAGATAGATAGATAGATAGATAGATAGATAGATAGATAGATAGATAGATAGATAGATAGATAGATAGATAGATAGATAGATAGATAGATAGATAGATAGATAGATAGATAGATAGATAGATAGATAGATAGATAGATAGATAGATAGATAGATAGATAGATAGATAGATAGATAGATAGATAGATAGATAGATAGATAGATAGATAGATAGATAGATAGATAGATAGATAGATAGATAGATAGATAGATAGATAGATAGATAGATAGATAGATAGATAGATAGATAGATAGATAGATAGATAGATAGATAGATAGATAGATAGATAGATAGATAGATAGATAGATAGATAGATAGATAGATAGATAGATAGATAGATAGATAGATAGATAGATAGATAGATAGATAGATAGATAGATAGATAGATAGATAGATAGATAGATAGATAGATAGATAGATAGATAGATAGATAGATAGATAGATAGATAGATAGATAGATAGATAGATAGATAGATAGATAGATAGATAGACAGAAAGACACTGATTACACAGTCTTAAAACATTAATAATAATTTATATTAGAATATTTTGATTTACTGTTGCTCTCTTACTTTTCAGTAGCATGTTATTTAATATGCTGAAAATACTATCGAAACGCCACTACACGATGAATAATATACCAGATCAGGAAGAAGTTAGTCCGAATTGTTTTTCGTTTTTTCGCTCAGTTGTCGTTATATCCTTTTTTCTATGTTATCGTTATTATTCCACTTTTAACAAAAGGCTTAGTACAAATTTGAAGTGATAAGCAATGCAGACAATAGACTGTGTTGTGACTTCTATATATATGGAAGCGTCACATTTTGAATGTGTGAAAATATAACCGATTCTCAGACTGGCTATTTGTGCGTAGCAAATATCGTTGAAGTTAACACGTTTTGGAATATGTAGTGTAGAAAAATAAGGAATCAAGCTTGCCTTGTAACCGGAAGATCCTGGATTTGAACCTTGGCAGTGGGTGCATAGTGCCGATGATTCCCAAGCACTAGGATGAGCTAGCCGCCCAGTACTCCCTGTGGCTGGTTTTCAATGATTCTCTAACTGATATCAATCCGTAGTCAAACTCGTAAAAACAAATCTAATCCTAACAAACCAGCTCTTGAAAAGGAATCATTTGTTGAAGCAAGCGTTTTAAAACTATCCGAATAACCAGATTTATGATTTGAACCTCGAAAATTAGTGATTGCTTTGATCAAAACTAATCATCTCTTAGGGTAGTTAAGTTTATAAATACGGTATGAGTTTCATGTGTTTGTACAACTTCTTGTACTTTCTTATGACGGTATTCCTTCACACTTCACGTACTTCATGATAAATGAGTTCGTCGGTAGCACTCAAAAGTTGTTAGCAAACAACTGTCACAATTTCTTGACTTGATAGATTGATTTACTGACCTCAGATATTTCACCTGTCAACAGTGAAAACTCAACTCAAAATCCAGCCAGTAAATGATACACAACCAGAAATCAATTCTTACGAAGAAGTGAGAAAAGATATTATTCGTTCAATGACTTGTATTTCAGTTGCTCATCATTTTCATCCGATGTAATTTCAAGGAACATTCTAACCGCCGATCAATCCTATTGCTGAGTAATTAATCAAACAGCTGACCTAGTGGCTGTTTAAAGGCAACATGCTTGTCTTGTAATCTTATGACCCTAAAAACGGTCTTGGGTGTACATCATTCCTGCTAATTTACTCTGAAGATCGATGTAAATTCCCGGTGATTCACATGTAACGACAGAAGACAAGAGCTAGGCAACAGAACGTTTATTGCGAAAATCAAAAGATATGTATAGATTTTTATGTACATTAAAATTCGTTATTGTTAGCAGAGAAGCAACCTCTTCTGATTGGTTATTTTCTTGTCAAAGGTTATTCCGTACTGTTTGTGACCGTTTCTGAGAAAGTTAAGCCATATATCTGTAAATCGTATTTGCACACGTTAAGTCTGCTGTGATTGGTTGGTGAGTTCCTCAAGGTTAAGCTTTCTTATTGCTTTTTATCTCATGACTCCGATTCGGGACGTAAATATTGACGTAAATTGTCGTCTACAATTTTGGCTTGCAGACAGCTCTCACCACACTCACTGTTTAGATGTTTTTCTAGTTGAAATCTGTCATTTCGCTGTCATAGATTGATATAAGTCGGCGGGTGATCACGGTAAAATTATGAATATCTAAAAGTTAGAATATAGAGACTGGTCATTGAGTTGGGTTCCAGCGACTGAATGCTGTACCAACTGAACTTGTAACCGGAAGGTCCTGGGTTCGAATCACGGCTTGTGGGTACATACTGCAAACGATTTTCAAACTAGGATTGACTGGTTTTAACGTAGAACTTTGCATCAATGTGCAGCACTTCGATTCGCCACACTTCACTCAGCACACAAAGCAAGAGAAGAAAGTAAAAAGAAATGCAAGACAGAGACAGTAAACAGAGATATGAGGCAAAAACAATAGTAATATGGAAGAACAATATAGTTTTATTGGATATTATAAGTCACAAGGAGTGGATACATCTGCGCCAGGCATTGAGAACGATTTTGAACCAGCCATATCACCAATTGTCCCTAGCATTCATTGGTTTTTACCATCCCTAAGACCCCAAACAGACAGCAGTCTATACCTCCCTAAGTGACTGGCTTAAACTAACTGTTGTGGACTTCATTGACTGATGAAGTCACATTTTCGTTTGACCACCACTGGCTCATTTCCAACGCGATCCATCCTATGTCAGCTTACATTGCCTGTCGGTTGAGGAAGGCGATGTGTACCAGTGCATGCATAACATATGTCCTAACCATCTCAATCGATGTAACTTCACAGACTCGTCGATTGATTTCTCTCCTTACTGAGGCTAGCACTCGACCGATGCCCAGCCTAAATAATGCTCACCTTATTATACCACTTGACACGGGAGATAGAATGCAGGCAGGCACCTATGATTAAAGACAGCTAGACAGGCTTTTCATATCTTCCACTCTCAATGGTCATGTCTCGCTGACAGCCAGTCATAAAGGGTGACGGAGCGAACTGCTGTGCTGCTGAGCAGTACACACGCCCTTTGGTCGACAGCCAGCCGTCGAATATCACGTCTACTCCAGAGACGGCGTCCAAACTAGGATGAAACAGCTCTCCGGTACTTACACCAGTATATCTCATTGAAGACATCTTTTATGTAACTATGGTAACATGACATTACAGTATTAGGTATTTAGGCAATTTGATTAGGTATTACTTGTATTTCTATCAATCAATAAATCATAATATAGAAAACAGAAAGGTTGAGCGAAGAAATATTTACTTTTCAATTAGATCCTCATCTCTGGCTCTACTCTAATATAAACCTATAGCATTTTTATTACAATACACAACAGTTTACCAATCAAGTGGCGATATGTTTGTTAACAATAATTATTCGCTGTCAATATGTCAGTGGGGTGATAATTAACGAAGAAAATTAATACATACAATTAAAAGGTAGAAATGGTTAGAATAAATTAATTTTACAAGGATAACACGTAATTAAATATGAAGTGGTCAGAAAAATAAAGTAATTTGGACAATTACAATTTTATAACTTTTATAATTTTTAACTGTTTAGGAGAAGGGGGCGAAGTAGTCCGGTTTATAGATTCATGTAACGATAGCCAAGGTAAGGAAAGTGGCTGTACAAATTTCTTCTGAACACACAGGTGTGGCTTCTTCAGGTGGATTCCTATTGCTTCAGCTGTTGTATGTAGAAGACGAACTCGTAGAGCAAAATTAAGATTAGTTGGAATGCAATAAATAATTTTAAATGAAGTATTAACGTCAACCTTATGCTCACTATCTACAAGGTGTGCTACAATAGATCTTGTTTGTCCCTTGCTTAACCATGCTGGATGACGTTCGGAAATACGATGATGAACCTGCCTAATTGTACGCCCAATGTAGCTGGCTCCGCAGCTGCAGTCAAACTGGTAAATACACATAGAGGAGGCAAATTTAGGTAGTTTATCCTTATTTCTCGAACGTAGAATAGGGGTGGTTGTGAAGAGACAACGTACCTCTTTCAACTGCATTTTTCAGGCGCTGTGTTATTATTTCGCTGATGTTGTCACTGAGGAACTGCATTTTTATGAACTTTTCGGAACTGTTGCCAAAGTGACTCTCCTAGGTGCTGAATTCATATTTTTCTCAATGAACTTATCTGGATAACCATTTTTTAAACTAAGTAATTCTCTAATAATCTTAAGCTCCCCATTGAGGCAGTCGTGTGAACAGATTAATTAACCTAGCTCTATGAAGCAGACACTTTACCAGGTTACGTTTATATTTCAAAGGTACGAAACTCAAAAAAAGTGAGTGTACTGATCTGTTGTTGTAGGTTTCCTATACACACTCCTTCTTAGTGTGCCATCTTCTTTGCTTGCCATGCTGACGTCTAGGAATGAGATACTGTCATTACTTTCTTTCTCTCTATGGTAATGTTTACTGCTGAATGCGCATGGTCATCACCATTATATTTTCTTTTTTCTGTTTGTTTAAGGTACTTGATATGCAGATATCTGGACAAAAATTACGTGAAAATAATCTGCTACGGGTTGCAATCTCTGATTTACTAAAAAGATTCAAAGAAAATACCAAATGGACTGAATCTTATCTCTCGGTCATCAAGAAATGGTTAAATGAAAATGTCCCAGATACAACAATCCTACTTTAGAAAATCAAATAATAATAATAATTAACTGATAAAATGTTTTCATATTAACAATGTTTTATTTATTTAATTGTTCGTAGAATAAAGTACTATTATAATTATTAATACTACTATTACTATTATTATTATTATTATTGATATTCCTACTGGATAGTCAGTGAAACAGATCCAAGTGTTCAGATACCCCTGTCAATGTGTTCCCAATAATAATAATAATGATAATACTAATAATATTTCAATATGAAACATGCAATAGCCGTGTTACACGTACAAACGCACTCACTGTATTTTGTCGTTTACCTTCATTTTGTCTCAATTTTGATGTGTGTTTTTCTAAAAATTATTTTGAATGCATCAAAAAACTATCTGTTTCTTTTTGAGCATATTCTCATCAGCATTTGATCTTTTATGCATTTCATGTTTTGAAATCCTCTGAAAAGCATAAAAGAAAGGGAAGATGTTCACCAAACACACACAAACCCATGAGTGTGACACATGTGTTACGAATACTCTTCATCTACTATTCCCTTTCCTTTTCCTCTTCTTAAAAGTGGTCAGTTGTAGGAAATTGACTCTTTTCCTTTTTTTCGATCGACGGATCTATAGATGTGTGGATGGATGGTTGGTTGGTTGGACGGAGGAATGAATAAATTTATTATTATTATAATTATAATGAATACTGAGAATATATTTTCAATTTGTAAATCTATCTCTCGCCCAATAAATCAATCAGTGTGTGATTCGTCCCAATATCCCGCTTTCTTCTTTTACTACCTTTTGTCTTATCAAGTAACAGAAAAAGGAGAATGAGAAGAAGAAGAAGATGAATAAAGCAAATCGTTTTACAAGTAGAATATTAGACAAAAAATTATTTAATTGGCAAGAGAAGAAATGTCATAAGGAGGTATACAACTTTAATATACACTACTTATACTACTATTATTATTATTAAGTAGTCAACAAGAAACTTGAGTATATTTGTATACAAAGATAACCTAGTAGTTGCTTTAAAAACAGTATTCGTTTTAATGGGAATCCTTATAGTCTTGTGAGTTTGTATCTCATTTTCAATAAGACAATCGAAAACAACTATGATTTTGTTTTTATTTATACACATTTTTCTCCAGACTATGAAAGAAAAGCAGTACTTACTGTTTATAAAAATTATATATTCTGTTTTAAAAAAAAACAATACACTACTAATATCACAAATATAAATAAACTTATTTGTCAAAAGAATCTTCAATTTCTCTTTTTTTGTAAGTATTGTTTTTGTTTGTTTGCATGAAGGATTTCATTATGAGCTGACATTAGTTAGAGAACCATATTGGAAAACCTGAGAGTTTCGTCCTAGTTTGTGACTCTTCATCAGTACGCCACTACCAGGGTTCGGACCCAGGACCTCCTGGTTACAAGGCTAGCGAGCTCGTAGACCATTGAGCCACTGGGACCCGATCCAATGACCAGTCCATGAATTCTTACTTCTGCCAATTCACGACATAGCGCGACCACTTTGCAATGTCTTCTTCGATAAGTTACTGCCTCATCTTCAACCTGCTGTGCCGTACTGGTCACGGCTTCCCACTAAAACACCTACCTGAATAGGGCCAGTCGCTAGTGAGCATCAGATTAGTTTTCAAGTATTGGTTTTTGTAGGGATTCAGTTTGATTGCATGGAGGATTTTAAATTATGAGAAGTCGATTAAACTTGAACATATTGGTTAACATTATTGATTGAACGAAATATTCACATATTGAGTTATAAGAAAAAGGCGTAAGCAACTAAGAAAAAACTAAAATTTAATTTTCGACGGTTCATTTTCATGAGCTGCTGTACAATGATCGTAATTAATATTAAACAAAGAAATCTTTAGACCAATCAGATACTGGTGAACTTTGTCCTTGAAAAATGTATTACATAAATTAAGGTGTAAGAAGAGATGATTAAGTGTAAGTTAGAAAAGAGGCAGAAGTTGGCATGACGTAATAAGTGTGAGATAATGACCAACTAATCAATAAGCTTGTGTAGAATGGACAGATACTAGTGGAAAGGCGATAGAATATTTTTATGTAAAATATGTATGAAAAAGCAATGTTATTAATAAACAGTAATAGAGTGGTAGTAAAATATGGATGATGGGAATAATAATGATAATAAAAACAATAATAGTGAACTTACATAATGAAAAAAGAAAGAAGCAAAATTATAGTAAGAACTTTACTCTGGCCACGGTAGGGCGAGCGAATGTATGTAGCGCTTTTGAATGCAGAGGTCCGCTTTCAGATCTCGAATAGCTAATGCTTCACCTATGTACAAATGGTGTATTCGAAGTACTTTTCGTACGATATTGACAGACTCTGTGTAGCATTGTGAAGCATTCATGCGGGGATGCTCGATATCCGGAGATGACAAGGTGTTCAAGGATCGATTTGCTGTTATTCTTCTTTTCTCCTCTGGCTAACGAAGCTGGACAGTGTTTCAGAATACGTTTTTGGACTTGGCGTTGCGTACGGCCGATATGCTTTGCTCCATACGAGCAAGTGAATTGATAAATACATATTGAAGTTGCCAAAAGCGGTATCTTATCCTTAACAGTAAACTGGATTAACTGTCTGCTGGAAAATGTGATACGTAAGGTGGCTGTTGGAAATGTCTTCAGACATTTAGAAAGGTGGTTTCTGAGAATTTCCGCTGTGATATCACCTTTGAATTCCAGGTTCATGAAGAGAGTTTTCTTAGGAACAGTTGCAATTTTTGGTGACAGAGGCTTCTCTTTCATGTTTCTGTTAATGAATCTTGGTGGATACCCGTTCTGTAGTAGAGTTTCACGGAATAAATTTAATTCTTTCTCTACCATGTCTTCCGAGCAGATTTTTCTAATCCTTGAACACAATATAAGTACCAGGTTTCACTTTCCGACCAGTGGGACGAAGCTCTAGAAGTTGATAAACTGTCTCGACCATGTTGGCTTTCGATATATCGATCTGTGGATCGTCATGTCTTCTGGTAAGTAGTACATCGAGGAATGGAAATGCGTTGTTCGATTCACGTTCTAAGGTGAATCTTATTGATTCGTGCGCTGCGTTGAAGGTTTTTAGGAGAGAATCTAAATCAAATTTTTCATCACAAATTATGAACGTAGCATCTACGTATCTCCTGTATAAGTGCAGTTGGCTTATGAAGGCATCGAGGATGTTGTTCCCGAGACTCGCCATGAAGCAGCTGGCTAGGAGTGGACCGAGAGGAGACCCCATGCCTGACATAAGCCCAACCTCAACTGCTTATTTCAATCACTAGTATGCATAGAATTTCATAATGTGGTTGTTTTTGGTTTGAAACAGGTCAGTGTGGTGTGATCTGATCATTTTAGATCTGTAGAAGAAACTATAGGGGATGTGTAATGTCAGTTTTAAAGCCTTTTGAGGAGATTACCAATAAGGAGTTTCAGCCATATTGCAATGGTGTGATAGAGACAATAATGGGTTCCAACAGAATATTATTCTCACAGTAAGAATCATTGTATTTAATAGATCGTTGGAGGCAATCGGCAGGAAGCCTTGTTTTGACCTAGGTTTCGTACTAGTTGGCACTCATCATCAATGCGTATCTGCAACCTAAAAGGAACTCATGTCCCTTCTGAGATTTGAATATGTGTCACCCAGTGCTGCAGTCAGTGACGTTACCACTGAGCTATTCAGGCTCGCGATTGACCTGCTGTAGGACTATTGGATATTTTTGAATGGACACTAGTCAGTAACTAGTGTAATGTGTCTAGCCCTTTGTTCTGTGTAGACTAAATTCTCCATTATATCAATAATAGACTGAATTCTATCAGTCAAGCTTGCAATGTGGCCACCAGGCTAGGTGGCTCGACCGACTGGTGTCCAATTAAAAATAATCATTGTATTTGTTGGTGTTAACGTCTGAATACAATTCCTACAGTTCAATACTGCATTATTTACAGAATACTGTATATGCATTTGAACATTCTATTTCATGTCGTTTAATGTAAACCAAAATCACACGCTCAGTGATTGTTGAAATATAAACTGTATAGATATAAACAGCGGTTTGATCAATGAAAAAGGATACCTTGGCTTCTGTATCTTGCCTTCTGCTGTTACAACACGTATGTTGTTAACAAAGAATTTCTTGATCAATTCGACGTTGAACTATGAGGTTAATATACCACTGTGGTGAGAGGTGGCTACTAGCCAAAATTGGTAGACAGTATTTTACTTCAATGTTTATGTCCCCGATATTGGTCGTGAGAAAATATGAACAAAGACTGATTCAACAACCAACCACAGCAGATTTTGCGTAGTCGGATACGGTTAGCATATAGATGATTTGACATTCAAGAAACAGCCACAAAAAGATGAAAGATTAACTTTCAGTGCGAAACAACAAATTAGAAGATTGTGTTTTTCTGCTAGCAATAATCTGTAATAATGTACATGAAAATCTACAAATGCGTGTTGATTTCCTGAATAAAGGATCTGTTGCCTGGCTCTTGTCTTCTGTTGTTACACTATCACGTTTTTACATTACTGGTTTCTTTTATTTTGTAATTTAAGCTTTCTTTTAAGAATTTGCAGGAGGCTTACTGCAAATTTCCCCATCGTTTCACCTTTCTCTTCGTTTTGACATAAACCTGCTGTTTTTGACATAACACTTTTGACATCAGTTTGTGTAGGAATCTAGTCTCAATGAAGATAATATTAGGCAACAGCAAAAAAAAAAGAATAGACACCAAATCTAGACTACTGTAGCGGTAAATAATTCCCCAAAATTATTAACCACAGCAATCATCACTCAGCATTGGATGCTGACCATCACTGTTTAAGTCGACTTGTTTAGCTGAAGGCTTCCGGTCAAGCATACCCGCCATTTGGTGCTCCGTCGTGTCACGTGCGTGCACGATTACTAGCTAGCTAAGCATTCACCTCTACCCGCGATTTTGTCCCGAAATATACTACGTACTTTGGACGACAGAATCTGGTCTTTTGCTTTACCATTTGGTACTGGAAGAACGAACACTATAGAAGTTGTTGGTATAAGATCTTGCGTTAGTATAATCCGTACAACTCGCGAACGTCG